TTGAAAAAATGGCCTGTATTAGAAATTCTGTTGCTTGAAATGCAGTTGCAAACGTCCTCTTCTTGGAGTCCCCAGCTGGTGTTGGATTTTCTTATTCCAATACATCATCAGATTATATTACTGGGGACAAAAAAACTGCAGCAGATTCATATACCTTTTTAGTTAACTGGCTAGAAAGATATCCAGAGTACAAAACACGCGATTTCTACATAACAGCTCTCTCAATACGACCAGTAATACAGCCTCAGCTCGCTGATTTGATCCTTGAAAACAACAAAATCACAAATCAAACTGTTATTAATCTGAAAGGAATTGCTGTAAGCTTCCTGATACTATATGCTGCCTGTTTATTCGATATGTTCTATTTTCCATTATCAAGAATTATAATATCCTTCTGGACGGGAATTTTCAGATTGGGAATGCATTAATTGATGATACGGATGCAGATGCAGGCACTTTTGACCATTTCTGGACAAGTGCTCTCATTTCTGATGAAGTTCACGAAGGAATAATATCAAATTGCAATTTTTCATCTGCCAATAATTCAGAAGTCTGTTACAATTACATAGATCAAGCCTATGAAACCATAGGCAACATCTACGCTTACGACATATATGCTCCCTTGTGCTCTTCCTCTTCAAGTGCTCCCGGGGTATATCTTTACAACTTATTCTTCAGTATATAATATTTCGTTTCCCCAGAATAAAAATCCATTCCTTTCTTCTGGAAGCAGGTATCAAATTTTGATCCATGCTCAGGTGATTATGTCTTCAATTATTTAAACAATCCTGAAGTGCAAAAGGCAGTTCATGCTAACATCACTGGAGTTCCTGGACCGTGGGAAGATTGCAGGTACTGCACTTCTTCTTCTGAATTCTTTTTTAAACTCTTTCTCATACCATATTATTTCATTTCAATTTTCGAAAGACTTCAACTAAAAACACTTCATTTATATACAGCGACTTCGTCCATAGTAGCTGGCAGGACTCACCAGATACATTGTTACCTACCATAAAGAAGCTAATGGCAAGCGACATTAGAGTTTGGATTTACAGGTAAGTAATGCCTGTCAGTGCTAATACGTCACCGTTCTGCAGATTGCACTCGGCAAATTCTTTTGACTATATGAACCCGAAAAAGAAAATAATGTAACCGAATTACAGTTTATTTTGTATTTAATACTAGCAAATACTTGCTGAAAAGTTCTGTTAGTTGGTTAGCATTATGTCACTCTGGGCACTTGTTTTGGTTACAGTCACTGATTTGTAAGCCTCGACTTTTGCTCGAGAGATAAATGCATGAAAGATTTTATTTGAGAATTAAAATGTAATTGTTGTTGCCAACACGCTCTTGAGCTTAAATTTTCAATGCACCTGCAGTGGAGATACAGACGGGATAATTCCAGTTACAGCAACTAGGTATTCAATGCCCAAACTTGGGTCACCCATAAAGACTCCATGGTATCCCTGGGACTCTCAAGGCGAGGTAATTAAGAAACAACTGTTTTTTCTTTTACCCTGTTTAAATCTTGTCCATCTCTTCTAATTATAGCATCGTAACACCATTCTGTATAACTTTTTCAAGGTTGGAGGATATGTAGTTGACTACCAAAATGTGACATTTGTGACTATAAGAGGATCAGGACATTTTGTTCCGAGTTACCAGCCTGAGCGCGCACTCATCTTCTTCTCATCCTTCATCGAGGGAAAGCTTCCTCCAGCACAGGGTTAAAGAGGGAATCAAGATAGA